TCTCTCTCTCTCTCTCTCTCTCTCTCTCTCTCTCTCTCTCTCTCTCTCTCTCTCTCTCTCTCTCTCTCTCTCTCTCTCTCTCTCTCTCTCTCTCTCTCTCTCTCTCTCTCTCTCTCTCTCTCTCTCTCTCTCTCTCTCTCTCTCTCTCTCTCTCTCTCTCTCTCTCTCTCTCTCTCTCTCTCTCTCTCTCTCTCTCTCTCTCTCTCTCTCTCTCTCTCTTTTCACGCTCGCCTCCTTGTCTCCTCCTCACCTTGTCTCCCACGGCGTTGGCCCTCACCCTTTACTTTTCCTGTCGTTGCTTTTGCACCCCCGCCCCCTCAAACCAACACGCCACCTCTGCTGCGTCGCAACTCCAGCGCTGCAGGCTGCTGCGGCCAAGAAGACGGAGGGCACGACGTACTTTCGCGGTGCCATGTACGATGACGCCTTTGATTTGTATTCGGAGGCACTCCAGGCGCTGGACGCTGCTCCCGTCGCCTCGGACCAGGTCAACCAGGAGCGCGCCAAGCTGCTCGGCAACTGCGCAGGTAATTGGAAGAAGAATTAGGCGGTTGGGGGGGGGGCGAAGCGGGGAGGTTGGGAATGGAGAGGGATGATCTGCGGGATATCTGCAGAGTTCACGGGGGTGGAGCGGATCTGGCTGTGTGTATGTGTGTGTGTGTGTGTGTGTGTGTGTGTGTGTGTGTGTGTGTGTGTGTGTGTGTGTGTGTGTGTGTGTGTTCTGTCTCTCATTCACTCACTCACCCTCACGCCCTCACGCACACACGCACAAACACAACCGCACACAACACAACCGCACACAACACACCCACAACACAACCGCACACAACACACACACACACACTCTCTCTCTCTCTCTCTCTGCGCTGTGTACACGGCGGCTGGTGCGTCCACACACGACCCAACATCATGTCGTTTGTCATGCTCATCTCACCACCGTCCATCTTACCCGCCCTTGTGCTGTTTGGTTGTGACAAAGAGTGCCGGTTGAGGGAGGAGAAGTATGACGGCGTGGCCGAGCTATGCGACCGCGCGCTTGCAGCGGACCCGACCTTCACCAAGGCGTACTTCCGCAAGGCCAAGGCGCTCAAGGCCCTTGGTACGTACGTGAGCGTGTTGTTGTGTGCGGGCGGGTGTGGGCCTGTGGCGTTGCGGTTAGAGTGAATGTGTGTTGCACATACACAACTGGGGGGGGTGTGATGCAGGGGTGCACGTATCACCCAAATACCCTGCCAAAAGCTAGCACCCGTGCGTCTTGAGCCCTTGCCTGTCGCCTCCACTGTGCTCACTCAGGATCTTTTCACGCTTCCCATCCTGCTTTCCACCTGTTCTCGCTTGCGCAGGGTCCTTGGAGGCGGCACAAGACGCTGTTCGGGAGCTCTTGGCGGTGGAGCCGGCCAACAAGCCCGCAACACAGCTACTCCAAGACATCAAGACGCAGTTGAAGGAGCAAACTAAGCAGTAGATTGATCTGATTTGCATCTGCTTTTTGCTTTTGTTTCCTTGCTCGGACATCATGTTTCCGCTTCTCTTCTGTGGCCCCTCTGGTATTCATTATCTCGACATCTCAAATACACAGCAAAGGCAATAGCCATCACACATCTTCCTCCTCCTTCTCCTCCATCACATCCCCGTCCCGCCTTGTGTACCCCGTGTCGTTGTGTGTGTTTATCATGTGTCTTTTTTGGTTGTGCACGGTGCCTGATGCAGCCAGAGAGTCTTTTTCAAGTCCTTCATAAATCCAAACCCACTTTGACTTCATTCTGCTGACGCTGTTTTCTGTTTCCCATTTTTGCGCTTGGCCCGCCAGCATTGCCACGGTTCCCACATCCGCGTGATGTCGTATCATCGCTCATGGCGTAGCGCCTGGGTTCATGTCACACGTCACACGTCACAACGTCAGCACGTCATGAAATCATCGTCGTGCCTCGCTTTCAAAGTTCAGGGCAGCGGCGCACGAAAGCTTTCGCACCCTGGGTCGATTTTTTCCGCGCCAACCTAACAAAAATTTGCGGGTGCGTTGAATCAATGCATGATATAGCCAATCGTCTTTGGGTTACAAAAATCTTCCACAATTTTCCTCCTCCCCTTTGTCTTTGATCTTGCTTCCCTCCTGCCTCTTGCCCACACAACGAACACAAAAAGGCCACAAACCACAACCAACCACACAACACAACGAACGTCCTCGCAGCCCGCCTCCTGTCCATGCACATTCTCCGCGCTTTCTTGATTTTGTGTGTGTGGACTGCTCTCTTGCTCTCTTGGTTGCTTTGCTCGACAGCGCACAAGCCCGCACACGAGCCCGCTCGTTGTGAACCTTGCTTTTTCGCTGCCTCGCCGTGTGAAACCTCGCTGTGGCCTGCTTGTTGCCTCACAGCAAGGCCAACAAAGCCCGCTCTTCTCCTTCTCACCGCGCTGGTCGACAGGCAAACGGGCAAAGCGGCAAGCTCCTTTCTTCCCCACCGGAACCGCCTCAGCCCTCCTTGTGTAAGTCAATCGCGGACAGCGAGCGAGGGTGAGATGACGGCAGTTGACGAGTCGATGAGGATACACGCTTCCTTGTCTGTGTGTCTGTGTTTGCGTCCGTGCCTGCCTTTTGCTGAGCTGCTGGGTTGGCTTGAATCCTTGAAGCCGCAGCTCCCGCAGCCCCTGCTAGCTGCGCCCGTGTGATCATTCATTCTCCGCGACAGCATGGGGGCATCAGAGAGCACTTTGACTGTTTGTTTTCAACTTCTTGTGTCGATGTGTTGACCCTACGTCAGCTCTCAATTCAGAGCTTGCGTGTTCCGCTGTCTCATCCTGATGCTAGTGATGCTCTCCGTGCGGTTCCATCTCCCCACCAGCACCACCACCACGCACTCAAATTCGCACACGCATACACACACACACAAACTCGCACACGGCGACTTCATACATGAAGTACATGAAGCTGTCTTTCCAGCAGCACACAGCACATAGGACATGCCACACAGCGCACTGCACACTGCACACAACCTCCACCACCAAACGCAGCACAACTTCACACACACACACACAGAGCACGTTCGCAGCCTATTCAATTCCATCCCCTCCCCTGGCTCGACAGTTTAATGAATTTATGCCTCTGTGTCAATGACTTGCAACTCACACACAAACACACCACCTCCCTGCTGCCTTTTCCCTCCTCCTCCTTCCTCCTGTTCAACTCGTTCCATCCATCACCCGTTGTCTCCAGGTTCATGACCATGACGCCCTCCGACAAAGCGGGGAAGAAGAAGACACAGCGCAAGTCGCTGCCCGAAGATGATGAAGGACGCGCTGGTTCTGAACGCCGAAGCAAGCAGCACAAGGATTCCCCGCGGCAACCGCCCAGCACTTCTTCTGTGCCTGCAAGCGTACGAGGCCGCGCTTCCTCGGCGGAGTCAAGAATAATTCGGCCAACGCCCAGGTCATGCGACACGAGCTCAACAGCAGCAGACGCGGCGTCGAAAAAGCAGGTGCACGAGGGCTCGCTCTTCTGCCTGTATCCGGAGCTCGGCGAGGAGACGTTGGCAAAGGCAGCTCAGAGCAATCAGGACTTGATGCATCTCTTGCGCCCCGTCGTGAACGGAGACCCGCTACCGAAGAAGACAACCAAAGGCAGGGCCAAATCCACAGCAACGTCATCCTCCTCGGCCAGCACCAAAGCGGAACGGCAAGACGACGCCGGCGTCAGTAAAACGTCACAACCTGCACGTCACACGCGCCACAACCCCGCAAGTTCCCGCCCACCATCCGCGAGAAGCCACCGTCGCCGAGGCAGCTCTGCCTCGAGCAGCTCTGACATTCGCGGCGTCCCAGCTCCTGCCATGGAGGTGAGGCGTGACAGTGCCATGGACACGGGCGTGGACACGGATGACGACGCGGACAGGCGCTCCTCGAGACGCCTACGCACGCAAGCTTCCGCCAAGGCCAAGCCGGAGCGAACTCGCGGCCCGAGCAAGCAGCAGCTAACGCAACAGCCATCTCCCCGGGAGCCGGACAGCACGCGGGTGCCGCAAGAAGACGTGGAACAGACCAAGAAACCAGATGGTCTTCGACAGCAGCGAACACCGCACAGTGTAGTGTTGGACGTTACACCGCTCCGTGGTGGCGGCGGACGCACCACCGGGGGGAGTGACGTTGTCGGTGGCGACGATGGTGAACACGGCGGCGGCCCGTCGTCCCCCGTTTTGCACTCGCCAATGAGTGCCGGCACGATAGTGGGTAGCTCGAAGGGTGCAACAGCCTCCGCCGCAATGTCTGCCGCCGGCCGAGCTGCTGTGTCAACAAGCCGCGGCGCCTCTCAAAACCCATCACCCAAGCAGCAGCAGCAGCAGCAGCAGCAGCAGCAGCAGAGCGCAACAAATACGCCAGCACATTTTGCATCCTCCTCACCTTCACGGCAGCCACCGCCGCCACCAGCAGCCCCTACTACGTCTCGGCCAAATCCCACAGAATTGACGGAAGTATCAGCTGCCGAATCCAAGCAGGCTCCACACTCAACTGGCACCAAGAAGAGCGATGCCAAGCCGTCAACGTCAGTACCACCGACGTCGACATTGGCGTCAACCGACTCTGTTGACAAGCCAGCAAAGCCGCCCACCCCGGAGCCTCTGCCGCACGCGAGAGACCTTGTGGGCCGCCTGCTGGTGGTGGACACGCTGGAGAAGGACATACTGCGAGCGGTTGTGCTCCGGGCCTTCGGTGCACGCAACGTCATTGTGCAATATGAGGACACCGCAAAGGAGAAAATGAGCGTGGCAGAGGCGCTGGCCCTTCAAGCACCATCTGGCGAAACCGTCGCCAGCCCGACGGCTTGGATCAAGCAGGCGATACAGGAGTACAAGGATCGTCGCCAGCGGGAAGAGACGGAGCGCCGCGAGATTGGTCCAAGCAACATCGTTTCCGGAAGACGTGAGCGGGCCAAGCCAAAGCCTGACTCGGCCGAATCGACGGCCGACAAGTCCAGCGCTGCTGACAACAAGCGCCCAAAAGTGCGACGAGGCAACAAGAAGGAAAGAAGACAGTCTGGCAATTCCTCGGGGTAAGTACCTAGTCCGCCAAGACTCTTGTCTGCTTTTTGAGTGCCGGATGCTGCCACGCTATGCGTGTTTGTGTGAGTGTCTTCTCCACGCAGTACTCACCACCAGCTGCCTCTTTCACTATGCACGCGCGTGTGCGTGTGTGTGCGTGTGTGCGTGCACACCACATTATTGGTTTCCGTTCCTCTTATCCGTGTCTTTCTTTGAATTTTTCTTTGAAAGGGTGATATTGCGCCACGTCGACAGGGCCCGGATCAACGACGTGGACGTGTGCATTGGCTCATTCATTGTTGTTGCCAGGGCGCGGGCGATGCGAATTCACGAGATATTGGGCATGTTTGACTACGCCAGCGTCATTGTGTTTGCACTCTCATCATATGTGCTGAACCCACGCGATAAGCGCGTGAGTCTTGGCGGCAGCCATTCCAGTGCAGCATATGCACTCGATGTTGTGTTTCAATTTGCGTTAGATGTTGTCGTGCACGCTTTGGACATTTGCATGCGCTATGTGTGGGAAGCGGTGTTCAGTGTTCGTGGCATGGTTGCGAAACATATTTTCGTTTTTGTTTGTGTGTGTGTGTGTGGGGGGGGGGATGGGTGTGTCTTTGTGAATCTGTTTGTCTTTGTGCGCGTGTCTGTGTGTGTCTGCGTGTATGTAAATCTGTGTGTGTGTGTGTGTGTGTGTGCAACTGTGTTGTGTCAATCTATGCGTGTATGTGCAACTGCGTTGTGTGCGTGCACGTGTGCGCTGTGATTTTTGTCAGCACAGTTTGTTGTATCCTCATTCAAGCTGTTGGTTGCTGTTGGCAGGAGCTGCTTCCAGTACCCAAAACCCTTGAGTTTCTGGCGCTGGACCCGCGTGATGTGGTCGGCCGGCTGGATGTTGTCTCGTTCTACGGGTATTGTGCGCAGTGGGCGAAGATCAAGGCGCAGCAAGAGCTGGGAAGACACGTTGACACCTCGTACATGGATCACGTCCGGTTCTTGCGAGTACCCAACGAGAATAAGTCCAATGCGGAATTCCTGGGGAAGTCGACGGACGACATTGCCAAGGCTTGCGCTAGGGCGTTTCGTCAGGCCGTGAGGGACTGAGACGCGCAGAGGCACGCGTTGCTACGACAACAAGTACTGAGCTCCGTTGGTTACGGCAACTCGACTCGATTCATGCATGAGCCTGGGCTGGTGTGCACGCGCACACCTACCCATCCTAACTATTCTATAACAGGGTGTACACTGCGTGTGTGTGTTGGGGGGGGGGGGGGCGACTGGAAGTGGCCATGATGTGACTCCGCGTTGTTGTTGCCATGGTTTTTTTTTGTTTTTTTTTGTTGGAAGGTGTTTTTATTTGTGGTGGATTTGTCGATTGTTGTGTGTGAGCAGGTTGAGTGATGAGTGATGTGTGTTTATGTGTGTGTGCGAATTATTTTGGCGACTCTAAACGACTTTGGATGGACGAAAACGCGAAGATGTGACAGAAACAGCAAAGGAACAGCAGAAATGAACGTTTCAGTGTATTATAATATGTGATTTGGAGCGGGCCTGTCGAGGACGCTGAGTCACTTGAATACTCAGGAGCAAGATACGAAACAACAGCGGAGGGACCCATCACAAGCAATGTTGTGAATGAACCATGTCGCAACTGTCATCCTCATCCTCATCAACGCCGAGAAGCCCAGAAGCAAGCACTCGTAAAGATCCAGGGCCAAAGATCCATCATCGGCTGTCTGAGACACCATAAGTTTTCCATTTTGGTGGGTCGTACCTGCTTGACACTCGCGCCTCGCCACACTGACGCTTTTTTGGGCAGCAAACCAAACCCCGAAATTTTCGCTGATGTCAGCATTATTAATTCCCAGAGCAGACGACGATGCAGCAGCCAGCGACCAAGCGAGCCAAGCACGGCGCCAGTGCTGCGGCCACAGCTGTCACGCACCGTGCTCCTGCCTACGGTGTGCATGTGTGTGCGTGTGTGTGTGTTTGTAAGTGTGTGTGTTTGTGTTTGTATATATGTGTGTGTGCGTTTGTAGATATACGTGTGTCTGTGTGTGTGTGTTTGTAAGTGTGTAATTGTTTGTGTTTGTTTGCTTCCTTGGATTCATGTGTATCGATGCATCTCCTAATATTGATGCCCTCTTCCACCCGTCCACACACACACACACACACACACACATGCACACACACACATGCACACACACATTGCGCGCGCACATGCAGGGTACATTCCTGATGTGCTGAAGACGCTGGCACAGAAGGTGGTGCGTGCATTCTACGATGAGGTGGCCGTGGTTGTGATGGACATGCTGGTGCGTCACGCGTGCGTTAAGGAGGACGATATCCGCGAGACGCTGCAGCTGCAGATGCGCGTGATCAAGACCGCGCTGTCCGCCTTGGAAGGCGACCGCCTCGTCAAGCAGATGGACGTCGACGATCCAACCATCAGCATCGATGAGCGCAAACGGAAGGCCAAATACTGGTACATCGACTACGAAGCCGTGAGTGAAAGCAAGACGCGGGGGCGCCATTACTGTCGTGTGTGCTTTTCTTGTCATGTCGAACCTGACTTGCCGCCGCGGCTGTGGTGGGTGAGTTGATCCGTAAATCGCCAACTCGGGGTGTTTTTCTTTCCATGCGTGTGTTGATGCGCGCGAGTGTGGCGCTCGATTCAATGCCCGCGTGTGGCGCTCGATGGAGCCATGCTTACAACCGGGTTTCATCGCGTGACACCACTCATGGTATGCACGCATCTGGCCAGGTTGTGTTTGTGGTGAAGTACAAGCTGGATCGCATTTGGCACCAGATCAACATCGACGCAAAGAACGTGCGTGTGTCTGTGTATGTATATGTGTGTGTTTGGCTATGGTGTGTGTATGTGTGTGTGTGTGTGTGTAACGTGTGTGTATGCGTGTGTGCATGCGTGTGTGCATGCGTGTTGTGTGTCAAGTCTTTCTTGCACAAGCGTCTTTTTGAGGGTTTCCTTGGATTGGCGTTCATGCTGTCCTGTGGCATCAACCCGACATCCTACCCACCCCCAAACCCTTGCCCTTGCACACAACAACGCGCGCGTGCCCCTCCAGAAACTGAGCAGCACGGTGTGCGAGTGTCCGGAGTGCGAGGCGCAGTTCTCGGACATGGACCTGTCTGAACTGTTTGACGGCGCGTCGGGCCAGTTCTGGTGCCGGTACTGCCACGTGGAGCTCGTGCAGAAGGTCGACCACACCGCTGCTGAGCTCAACAGCGTCATGACAAAGTCAGTGTGTGCGCGTGTATGTCTGTGTCTGTGTCTGTGTGTGTTTGTGTCTGTGTCTGTGTCTGTGTCTGTGTCTGTGTCTGTGTCTGTGTCTGTGTCTGTGTCTGTGAATGTGTGTTTGCGTGTGAATGTGAATGCGTGTGTGTGCGCGCGCTCCCCTCCTATCTGTCTCCGCCCCCCCGTTTCTCTCGTGCGAACACACACACACACACACACACACACACACACACACACACTCACACGATACGTGTGGTGCATGTTCCCATCTTCTGCTCACCTTGTGCTTTTGGCATGTTCGCGCACACACACTGGCCTGATGCTAGGATGAACACTCAAACCCGCGTGTTTACGGATCTATTGCAGCAGGTTGACGAAATTGTCCTGAGCGAGACCGTCCTCAAGCCACGACCAGCACACATGGTGCGGCATGTCACTGTTTGGGACGACAGGTTTTCACTTGCTGCTTCACCTACGCAGTTCATCCCATCCCCTCTTACTTCTCCCTCCACCTGCCATCATCTTGAACCCGCATGCGTGCACCCTTGCTGTCTATTTCATCTGCTGATTGTTGCATTGATGCACCACCTGATCCCCCCTCCCCTTGTCTACTCCTCCACCCCCCCCCCCCTGATCACCGCTGTGCAGAGTGTTGCCCGCATGCGTGCGTCACAGCTCAACGTCTCCCGGTCCCTTCCGCAGCACGCGCGGCCAAAGCTCCAGTACGCAAGCACACACACACATATCTTGGTCTTGTGTGCATTGAGTTTGTGTCAAGTTTTGTGGAGTTTTTGCTTGCTTGTGTGTGTGTGTGTGTGTGCGCGCTGAACCCCCGAGTGCCTTGGTTGTCGTGAGCCTCCTGACGCACGCACACGTTGATGCACACACACACACACACACACACGTTGATGCACACACACACACACACACACACTCACGCCTCTGTGTTTTATGTGTCCATGCATTTGACCAACAGCACCAAGTTGTACCAGTCGACCAATCCGTTTGAGGAGACGTACAGCATTCGCATTGTTCCGCCCGGCGCAAAGCGCAAGAAGGTGCGTGCACATTTCCAGACATCATGTGTGTGCATGAGACTCGATTGACAGGCAGCTCCTGTGTCCCGTCTGTCACACACACACACACACACACACACACACACACACACACACACACACACACACACACACACACACACACACACACACACACACACACACACACACACACACACACACACACACACACACACACGCACACACACGCACCCACGAACAGTACAAGCCGCAGCCGCTGTGGACGCGGGGCACGACGGTGCTGCTGGACGCCGTGTTTGGCCGGAGCAGAGACGCGCTGGCCGGCACCGTCGGCGTAAACGGCACCCGTGGCACCGGTGGTCGTGGTGTTGGTGATGGTGGTGTTGGTGGTGGTGGCCGTGGGTTTGGGGCAGAGGATGGTGGCCTTGGGCAGGTGTTGATGATGGGGTTTGAAGACGAGGATGACGATGATGAGGCTGAGGACGACGCGGTGGCGGCGGCGGACGACGCGGGGCCAGCGGGGACGGGGGCTGATGGGGGTGGCGGTGTGCGCGGGGAGGACTTGGTGCACGACCGGTTCTGGGAGGTGGTGGATGTGGAGCCGTCCCAGGAGACGCTGGCGCTGGTGAGCGATGAGAGCAGCGACGACGAAGGCAGCCGTGGTGGCGACGACGATAGCGGCGAGCACAGCAGTGCCGAGGTCACGGGGAGCCAGAGCACGGCGCGGGGTGGCGGTGGCGGTGGTGGTGGCGCGAATGGCGCGAGCGAGGATGGTGATGATGGCGACGACGATGATGATGATGATGACGACGACGACGACGACGCTGACGATGATAATAACGGCACATGATGTACTTGCCTGCGCGCACGTGTATGTATGTGTGTGCTGCATGCACATGCGTGCGGATGGGTGGTGTAGTAGCTGAACCAGAGAGTGTTTTAAGTAAAGCAAAGCGATCCATGAACACGGAGGAGGAGGAAAGAACAAACGAGGAGGACAAGAAAGTGAGGAGGAGGAGAGCAAACAAACCCACGTGACAACAATTAATCAAGGGGGAACACGCTACCAAACACAATCAGCAAGATGTTCTACCTCGTTGGACTTGGCCTTCAGAATGAGAAGGTGGGCTTGTGTGAGACGGCAGCATGTGTGTGTGTGTGTGTGTGTGTGTGTGTGTGTGTGTGTGTGTGTGTGTGTGTGTCGGTGTGTGTGTGTGTGTGTGTCGGTGTGTGTGTCGGTGTGTGTGTCGGTGTGTGTGTGTGTGTGTGTGTGTGTGTGTGTGTGTGTGTCGGTGTGTGTGTCGGTGTGTGTGTCGGTGTGTGTCGGTGTGTGTGTGTGTGTGCTCACGTGATGTTTGTTCGCGCGCGGGCGTGTATGCAGGATATCACCGTGCGCGGCCTGGAGATTGTGAAGAAGTGCACCCGGGTGTACTTGGAAGCATACACAGCCATCCTGATGGTGGACGCGCAGAAGCTGGTACACCTGATGTGTATGTGTGTGTTTGTTGTGTGCGTTGTGCGTTGGTTTGGTTGTGCGTTGAGCTTCCAGCTGCCATGTGTTCATCTCTAACAACGTGTGTTTGCCAACTTGCTGCGCATGTACTCATGTTGCTGTCTCGTGTTTGATGCGCATGCACACCGATCAGGAGGCCTTCTATGAGCGCCCCGTCATTGTTGCGGATCGCGAGATGGTGGAGCAGCAGTGCGAGGACCTGTTCCTCACGCCCGCAAAGGTAAATCACTGTGTGTGTGTGTCGTGTGTGTGTGTGTGTGTGTGTGTGTGTGTGTGTGTGTGTGTGTGTGTGTGTGTGCGTGTGTGTGTGCGTGTGTGTGTGTGCGTGCGTGTGTGTGTGTGTGTGTGTGTGTGTGTGTGTGTGTGTCCTCCTCCTCCTCCTCCTCTCTCTGTCTCTGTCTCTGTCTCTCACTGCGTGCGTGTAAGTGCCTGTGCACCTATGTTTCATGTCAACGTTGTTGCTCATCTTGTGTGTTTCCCACAAACGCACGCGCGCACATCCTCCTCTCGGATGTCGTCACATACAGGAGGAGGACATTGCGCTGTTGGTGGTTGGCGATCCTTTCGCCGCCACAACGCACACAGATCTCGTCACACGCTGCAAGCAGCTCGAGGTGTGTGTGTGTGTGTGTGTGTGTGTGTGTGTGTGTGTGTGTGTGTGTGTGTGTGTGTGTCGTGGTGGTGGTGTGTGTCGACGTCGTCGTCGTCGTTGTTGTCGTCGATGTTGTTGTTGAAGTCGTGGCGGTAGCAGCACGATTGATGCCTGTATCTCTGCACACGTCTGCAGGTCCCATTTGGGGTTGTCCACAACGCCTCCATCATGAACGCGATTGGCTGCTGTGGTCTCCAGCTCTACAACTTTGGAAAGACGGTGCGTATTGTGGTGTGTGTGTATGTGTGTATGTGTGTATGTGTGTGGAGTGTGTGTGTGTATGTGTGTATGTGTGTGAGTGTGTGTATGTGTGAGTGAGTGAGAGATTGTGTGAAGAGTCTTGTGCTTGAGCACCTCCGCTGCTCACATGCAATCACGCTGCCACGCGTGGTGCAGGTGAGCATTGTGTTCTTCACGGAGAACTGGCGGCCGGATTCCTTCTACGACAAGATCAAGGCCAACAAGGACCTCGGCATGCACACCCTCTGCCTCCTCGGTGCGTTGTGCGTGGAAGCTGGTGTTGGTGTTGTGGCTGTTGTTGGTGATGTTGATGGCTGCTGCTGCGGCGGTGGTGGTGTTGGTGTTGTGGGCGTTTGCAGTCGACGTGCTGGTAGTCGTTGTAGTTGTCGTGTGTGTGTGTATTGTACACGATGAAGGAGAGCCTGTTGCTTCCATGTGGTCACGCGACCAACCGCCGGCACACGCGTGCCATCACGCCCTCAGACATCAAGGTGAAGGAGCAGAGCATTGAGAACTTGATGAAGGGGCGCAAGGTGTATGAGCCTCCTCGCTACATGTCCGTCAACCAGGTGCGCACGGATATGCTCGCATGTATGTGTGTGTCTGTGTGTGTGTCTGTGTTTCTGCGTGCTGCTGTGTGTGTCTGTGTTTCTGCGTGCTGCTGTGTGTGTGTGTGTGTGTTTCTGTGTGTTTCTGCGTGCTGCTGTGTGTGTGTATGTGTGCGTGTGTTTTGTGTGTGTTTTGTGTGTGTATCTCTGTGTGCATATATTTGTTTGTGTTCATGTGCTTCTGTCGTTGTGTTTTCCTTGTTTTCGCTCCCTGTCTCTGTTTGCGTGAGTAGCTGCGCGCGCGCGTGCGCGCGCGTGTGTGTGTGTGCGTGACATGCACAGCGGCGAGAATGGCGTTGTCGAACGCCGGCAGCTGCCGCACAGTTGTCATCAAAGATACTGTTCGGCAACCCCTCACGTGTCTTTCTTCCACCAATGTGTACCCTGTGCAGTGCGCAGAGCAGCTGATGGAGGTCGAGGAGAAGCGCCAGCTCGGTGGGTAATGTAACTCGACACACACAACATGTTGTGCCACTCCCCCCCCCCATTCGCACACACACACACACACACACACACACACACACCTTGCCATCTGACACAATATCATGTCACATGTGTGTGTGTGTGTGTGTGTGTGGTCTTGCACCCATGCTTTCGAACCACCCCTTGCTCACTTCCTTCCTTGCACCTGCAGGCGTGTGCGGGCCAGATGCGCTTGCTGTTGGCGTGGCGCGTGTTGGATGCGAGGACCAGGTCGTTGTCTGCGGCACTCTCGTGGAGGTGCGCGGGCGAGA